AATTTATTCAAATTATAGGGGCCTAAACAATGAATAATTAGTTTTACACATTTTAAATCAGCTCAACTGTTGAGCCAAGACCAAATTTCAAAACCTTCCTAGAGCTTCTCGACCAATCAGAATGCTACAATGCAAGACTTAATATACACTATATCACCAGCAAGTCTGACTCGCTTCCTTAAACCAAATCTATTCTCATAAAGTGTCCTTGGACTTTTATATGGATCACGTGAGATCAAAGAGAAAAACCCTTTCTTATACAAGAAACTACCAATGATGGGTTTGCATTCTGCCCACTGAGCTATCTGGAACACAATGTTCTCCACTCTTTAGAGTTGGGTTATGAATATTTATAAGTTGAGTCATGAAAATTCATAAGTTGGGTCATGAATATTCATAAGTTGGGTCATGAATATTCATAAGTTGGGTCATGAATATTCATATGTATGTAAATTTATGAGTCAAATGGCTACTAAATCTTCAAAACCTCATTATTGATCTCTTCTGCATATAAAGTTCTCCCTACAATAAAATATTATCTTGGGTCAGAACTAGTACTCAAGAGGCTTTATCCTATACTAGTAAATATATTGTAAAATGTTATTTTACAAAATGTTGTAACATTTCAATTAATTTTAATTCTAAATGTAACCAATTTTTTATCTTATATTTTTGTCTATATGGAAGCAATATAAAAATAACATAATGTTTAGTAATTCAAATTTGAACAACAAAGTTTAACTTCAACTAAAAAAATATAACAAATTATTACAGTGTAACATACAAAGATTGAGGGTCTTGTCCTGACCCTGAGGTATTGGTTTCTTCACGCCTGTAATTGAAGTTGTGTTCTTGCACTGGGTAAATGTAGTGCCCCATTTTTGGGGGGAATTATTTTATAGGGTAGCAATGAGTCATAGTTTTTTATTGTGGCCCCCAATACAATAGAGAAAGAACCAAAGTGAAAATTTTCAAAGCAACGCTATTTTGTTGGCTTGTTATCTTTGGTCAAGTGTTCTACCGGTAAATTTACTTGATTTGTGCGATATGCCAATGTAGTGCACCCTCATTTCAGATGTATTCATAACTGGTAATTTTAAAACATCTGGGCACTGTACCTGATCTAATGTGCATGAAATCAAAAAAAACCTGATTCTATTGAGTCAGTATGGTGCCAGGAATTCCCAGGCTCAACACTAAATTTTGTATGGTACTTTACAAGCAATGGAAACTTCAATTTAGGTGTGAGACTTATCACCAGAATGACTAAATTATGATTGCATATAAACAGTCAAATACATGGGTAGTGTATAACGTGAATTAAAACAAACTAATCTCTGCAACATCAAATGAAATGAAATCAAACCTTTTCACCACCAGTTCCCTCTTTTCATCGCAAATAGTCCTGTTTATAGTCTGCACTTTCCTTCAGAAGATTGGGACAAACTACCCAACTGTTTTGAGTGAAAATCGAAAATTAACTCAAATTTTGTCTGTTGGCTACAAAATTAGGGTTTATTTACAGAAGTATTGAAGAATACGAGAAAAAAGCGCAAAATGTTTTGGCGAAAAAAGTCTTGTAGTGAAGAGGTTACACCCAAAAAAAATTATTCTGCAGTAGTACCATGATGATTTTTCTCCAGCACTGTCACTCACAACAAAACAATAATGGACATTATTTCATTAGTGTATCTATTACTTCAACACTGATGAGATAATTAGTAAACTACTCTTAGGTTCCCCAGGGAAATTACATTACATGTATCCACATCAAAATAATTAATGACATTCAGCATATAGGTTGATCGATATTGGATGTGATGTGTGAAGTCTTGTACCACTACTTTCCACGAAACTAAATTATTATATAAATTATTCATGAAAAAGACACAAGTTTCACAATCAAACGTTTTTGGACAATGTGCGTTAGTACACACTGCACTTGGTTATAAGTAGTTTTTACGAAATTTGCACAAGATTTTTGATTTGTCAAACGATATACACGATAAAAAACGATTGGCTCTTTCTCTCAGTATATCTCACCTAAGATATTAAATTATTGAAAGCTCATTTTTTGTCTGAATATTTACTAGTAGCATGCAATAGCAAAATGCAGCTTGTAAGAGATTAAAGATGAACTGTAAATGCTACCATATCAATTTGAATATTATCGAGATAAGAAAGCCTTTCCTTCATTTTAATGAATATTTATAAATTTCACAACTGAAATAAGAGGTTTCTATTGGCTGATGAAATAACATCGTTGCAATTTCAAATAATGTCATTGTCCTCTGAGCTAGTTGACTGGTTGGTTGAATTCAACTGCTATTGCAATTTTTAAATATTTATAAAAATGAAAGGGAATGGGTTGGAGGTGGCGATAGTAAAATAAGATACAATGTTTTTGCTTTTGGACAATTGTTTTCTATGATCAGTAAACTCTAGATGTAACAAGTTCTCTGATTGGTTAAGTAATTTAATCTGAAGTGATCACACTGACAAGAAGTTGTTGAGAAGTATGTGAGTGCATGGGTAACTGAAAAATTACATGATACAACACTTGTACAATATATCTTGTTTTAATCACACTGCAACCATATATAATTCACACTGGTCGGGATGGCATTCAAATGACGAGCGAGTGTGAAGTTCTGTAGTTCTTCCAATGGGAGCATCCAAAGACGTCTTTTCTCAGCAGAGGTAATTCATACCACTGATGTAATTATAGTACCTTTTCTCTGGAGAGACCACAACCATATCAATAAGCTGGTCTTCTTGACTGTGCTACCCAATCAATAACAGACGTTTCCTGGAATGACTGCCACGTTGCCGCTTACTAAGAAGTACTAGCGTAGGCATCATGGTTTACATTGTAATTTATTCCATGTCACTGAGTTGACTGACCCCAAACTTCCGGACTAATTTTTATGGACAGGTTATGACATTTGCAGCCCAAGGTCAGGTCGTAAAGTGTTGTATACTGTAAATGCATTAATTATTCACTGGGTTTTAATTTCGCTATTTTCGCTGATAAGTAAAATCTGCTAAATTACCATAAATCTACATGAACATGTAAAATAACAATAAAACTCACTGTTTCCTTGAGAAATTAAAACACAGTCAATATGCTCAAAAAATTAAATGTTAGTGAAAATAAATGGTTTTACAGTAACACAAGACGACCAGGGCTAAATTTCTGATTCATAAACTTGAAATACTGAGAGTTTATAACCTTTCTGAATGCCATATTTGTTTGTATCCTAATTTTAGTGCCACATTTAGCACAATGTTATGCAGACATCACTACAATCATGAATCTGAAGAGCAATACTATATATTTGTACATTTTTGACAAAAAATAAGAAAAAGAAATAAATACAATTAAATGATGTCACCCCACGGTATCCATTTACCAACTATTAGGATAAAAGCAATCAACCCAAATAAAATTTTTGAAGATCTAAAAAAATATTCCTAGTATTAAATCTGAATATTCCAGGACACCCACAAACTAAATACCATAGTGTTATAGCAATATTTAAGAAGTGATATTTTATATCATATTTTAAACCGATACAAAAGCTGACAACAGAGTTCAACATACATTACAAGTACCGGGTAGTACACCACACATACAGCACAACACAACAGTCATGACCTTTGACCTCCAACCACAATTCATTTATCTTGATCTCTGATGAACAACATGTCAAAATATCTCAGTGGGTTTAGATAAATTGCATTTCATCATCAAAGCTGAAGATAATATTTTAATTCAATTTTTTTTTGAATTTTTTACATTTTTTTTTCTGTCTGCATTTTTTTTTACTTTTTCCCTGCCTCCGTTTTTTTTTTCGTCCATTTCTGTTTCTAGTTCTTAACTTACCCAGTCCACTATAACACAGGTTACATACAGCAGACGGTCCACTTATTTTACCAATCAATTCCACACCGTCATTATTACTGACTGCATCAACAGCATAAAAATAATTGATGGCATCATCATGGCAGTCCTCAGAAACCACTAGTTGTGTCTCTCCATTATCAAGAGACGTGATTTTCTCCCACTCACTATTATCAGCATCTGCTTTCTTATATATTTGGTAAACCATGAATTCTAATGGACCATTCGGTTGAGAAGGCGGAGCAAAGTATATTCACTGTATTGACATCTGTTACCTTAGCAACAGGTGCACTCATTTGTCCAGGAACTGTAATAATAATCAGAAAATAATTGCCCAATCACATAACAGATTCAGATGTGTACATGGCCTTCTAATGACAGTGAGTGTGTAGTTGTTGTTGTTGTTGTTGTTGACTCCATAAAGGTCTAATTAGTTTCAAAATGAGGGTTCAGTTTGTAGTCTGTGGATACAAGGGCTTATAAGTAAGGGTATATAACTAGTGTAATATATGATGATATTTCAAATTTAAGTCACACAAATTACAAGATTAAATTAATTTTGCAAATAAGTGAGCCTGTCCCATAATGAATTCATGAGACTAGCAAGATCATGAGTTTGGAGAGGAGACACTGGAACTTAATCAAAATATGCTAATGAAGATGAAATTCCATAATTCTGAATTGAGCATCAACTGTATATTCATAAATGGTTTTCAGAAGTTCATTATAAACTCAAACTGAGTTGAATATCCAAACTAATGAGTATGTTAATTAAAACTGAATTACGTTAAGCATAAAGTACAGTGTACGTGTGTTTAAAAATAAACTATCTGTACTCCCACAATGCACTGTGTTGACCTATTAAAGATGACCTACCTCCAATGTCGGTTCTTTTATTTAAACTAGCAAAGTCTCCACATGGATTAATAACAGCCTCAGAACATGCTTGGATTTGTATATCATACTCGGTATATCCAGACAGATCCTCCAATACAACACTAGTCGTATAAGTTGTCACTTTGTCTTCATTGTATTTTACTTCATACTTGATTATATTCCCATTAGGAATGATTGGCGGTTCCCAATGGACTGTCATGTTAACTGCAGTAATATCAGTAACCACAGGTCGTATAGGCTTACTCGGAGCTGTATTAACAAAAAAAAAGTCTCATATTTCAAAAAGTATGAAAGTTTTTATTAATCATATAATTCTACTAGGAGTCTGAATAGCAATACAAGACACAGCTATACACAAACTGAGATGTATCTATTAGGTTACCCTTGAAATTATATACAAAGTCTATAAAAATTCTACAGAATATTTTTCATAAGGGAATACAATTAACACTCACCTCCTTGACTTGTCCTATTGTAGACTTCAGTACTATTAGGTCCTATACCAATACTGTTATATGCAGCAATGATAACTTTGTAATACGTGTAAGGCTTCAAATTATCTAAATACCACTGTGTTAACACACGATTCTCTAGATCTGTGGCTGTCACGTTTATGACTTCTACACCATCACCTGCAATTCAGACAACAAAAATACACATTATTCACAAGATTTATTGTTGTCAGTTCACGAAACGTAGCGGATAATAAAATCGATATATTCAATATATCTTACATTGACTTGTATTCAGCAAAGGACAGTAGTATACCAAGTAACCAAGAATAATTCCATTCTGGTTGCTAAGGCAAGGAGATCTCCATCTTACTGAAAGACGAGTGGGATTCTCTTCTATTGTGTTCATTTCAACATCACGTGGAGAGCTGGTTGGCACTAGAGATTAAAACAAACATCATTTGAAAAAATGTACAATAGAAAGAGACAAATCCTGGGTGTGTTTATACGTCTAAGGACAGAATAGTGGCTGTTTTTTGTAAGTGCTAGCTACTGTAAGAATGTTGTGTGCCAAAGCTGCTATGTGACCATTTCTTGTACTGCTGAATGTGAGAACACATGTCAAGCATGTGTACTATTGGGTTAAATTTATTCTAATATTTAATACACAGTAAATTCTATGATATGAAATACGATAGTATTGTCACATGACACAATAACAGGATTGCTAACTTAATGTGTATTAAACCAAAAAAGCCTGCATACAATCACTCACTATTTTGTCCTCAGTTGTACATATATTCTCACCTGCTTCTAAAGTATATTCATATACAGGAAGTGATTGTCCACCTTCACCAACTACGTTAGATGCTGTGATGTAAAACTCGTATCGGGTATACGCCAGAAGATTGGTGACAGTGTACTCCAGATCACCATCAACATTAGTGAAATTGTAATGTCTTGAAAAAAAAAAAAGTTGACTGAGTTGCATGGGCTCTATATAGACGTAAATCGGCTGAATGATTGCTAGGAAAGACAAAAGGCGTCAAATATAATAAACACCACATCAAATCGATTCTCTGGCCAATAATTTTTTTTTGGATTTGATTGCAATTTTGGGTTTGTATACACTTCTATTGGAGATGTGCCTCTAATTTGTCTAGAGCAAATATGGTATTGACTTTTTGTTTTCCAGTCTGTTTTACCTTGTATGAGAATCACTGCTTGACCAGTAGATAGTATATGAGGTTATATCAGTATTCATACTTGGAGATGGATTCCATCTTATGTGAATATTAGATGCAGATAATGCCTTTGCAGTCACCAGGGTAGGTGGGGATGGAGCTACAACATGAATATATATAATTCTTCGTTAAATAGTTATCAATATTACTTAATATATAAAGACAATTCACCTTCTACTCAGGAGACATTTTAGATAGATATACTGGTTACAAAAAGTGAATCCATGTGGTGGCTTTGATGCAGACACCAGCAATATAATGGTTGTTGTACCAGCACTAGTTTAAGACTAAAACCATGGCTGGGGTTTAAGTCAAAAAACGAGTTTATCCATACTCATGTTAGTTTATGAAAACTTCTCACATAGCCCTCCACTATACCATTGGTATGTGCACTTGCAATTTGAACATCAAAACTCTCAGGTGAGATAACAGTGATGTTCAAAGAAATGTCTTACTAGAGTTACTTTTAAATCAGGGAATATTTAGACTAAGTATAAAATCTACTCACCTGAAGCTGGAAATGAAACGGTAACACTTGCATCAGGTGATGATCCTACACTGTTGTACGTGACAACATGTATTTCATAAGTGGAATAAATGTCTAAACCTGGTAAAAAAATGTATTTTATATATTATTTTATTTAAATTGTATTCAATTAATATTCACTGTGTACATCTAAAACCTCATATATGTAACAAGCAGTCTGTCAGCTGATATAGCTTTGCTATTAGCAATGCACATTTCACAAGCAATCTTTACCATAGTATTGAAAGATGTCCTGACGTGTGCTGTGTAAATTGAATGAATTTGATGTAGGAGATATTTATAATGACACGATTAAGAATAAAAAGATTCCAGAATAAAAAAAATTTCTGTAGACAATTCTTTCATTATACTTTGTCAGTATTGTCCATAATACATACAGCTGCTGCCGAAATTCTTCGAAAATGTTGCAGATGCACAGACATCTGGCCAGACAAATTAGTACTGTAAAATACTTTATTTTCACTGGCATTAATTTTCGCTGAAAAGACTTTTTGGCTGTTTTGTATGAAATATATTTTCACTGAATATCGACGAGTTGAATGTAAAGTATAGGAAAAAAGGTATAATCGCTGGATTTTATTTTCACTGAATCATTCCTTAAGCAAAAATAGTGAAAATTAATTCCAAGCAAAAATAAAGTATTCTACAGTATTCTCCTATTCACAATTAGATAGCAAAGTTAGAGCAAAAGGTTGGTCACCTGTACATACGAATTGAGTTCTGAGAAACAATAACAATGCACACTGAGACATACTATGGCATATCTGCACATTTGACGACTTCCTTGCTTTAACACTCAAAGCATGTTGAGGGCAGAAGAAAGGCAACATTATTATTTGATAATGTACAGCAGTGATGTCACATGATTACCAAATATGGATAAAATAGATTGTAATTACCGATTACTCTATAAGTGGTTGCATTAGTCAGAGCAGTGTTTTTCAGTAACTGTTGTGTTGCCTCGACAACAGTGACATTGTATCCTAATACCACACCTCTCATATCTCGCACAGAAAGAGGCTGTGTGTAAAACAAATGCTTTGATTAAAATTTAAAGATACTGTTGGAGTATCATAATCTTCACAATATTTGTTTATTTTGTTACTGACTGTGAATTACTGTATGTTAATTTAAATTAAAAATAAAACAAATAAATGTATTCATTTTCAATACAGTTTCAAAACAGAGTCGTATTATTTATTATGACAGAATTCCCTTCACCAATTTTTTATATCGTGTGAAAATACACAAACTACTTTCTCAGTTTCTTTCTCTGAGATTGGATTACCATGGAAACAGAACAAGGATAGAGAGCATACTCACATCTTAGAATAGGCCAAAATGGGATTACCATGGAAACAGAACAAGGAAAGCATTGCCAAGTATACTCACAAATCATAGAAAATGCCCGAGCTGGGATTACCATGGAAACAGAATTATAAATAAAAGCATATACTTATCCCAAGTAAGGTTGAGATGGAATTATTATGGAAACAAAACCAGGAAGGAGAACATCTGCTCATCACAGTTAAGGCCAAATGGAATTACCATTGAAACAGAACAAAGAAAGTAAGGATATACTCACATCCCAGGTGAGAATGACATCCATTTTATTTTCGAATTCCGGGTTACGTTTTATATCATGGTCTAAATGTAGCTGCGTCAGAGGGGCTACAACAAAGAATAAGTGTCACTTAGAATTTACCGACATGTCATTAAAAAAGTGTGCTCAACCTCATGAATATGCATGAGGTCATTTGATTAAACAAAGCAAAAAACAAAATTCTGAATAATGACGGGCATATTTATAACCATTGTTGCATTGAGAAATGATACTGTTTTGTAAAGGTGGTTAACAGTTGTGGTTGAACCTATCGTTATCATTCACTCAAACTTTCCACATTAGAAGTTTAGATATCATGAACTGAACGATTCAAATTTACGTCAGCTCTAGTTTACAAAAAAGATTTCATAATCGTGACCAACAGCTTTACAAATAACTGTGCATATAAACTTAGATTACTCCATGACATCAAGTGAAATTCTTTTTAACCAAAAACCCATAAGCATACCTCCTTCTGCAGTTATGGCTGTTGTACTTGAAGACCAATCGCTCCAATATTCACTGTCAAGATCAAGAAAAGTTTCGGAAGCTTTTACTTTAATGGTATATTCTGTGAAGCTTTCTAAGTTGCATAACAGATAGGATGTTGATCTTTGAATTATCTGAAAACAGAATAAGTACACATTTATTTGAATAAAATTGTACACACACATTAGCCCACAT